AGGGAAGCAGCAGCTGCGAATTCGTCCCCCGTGAAGGCTGCGCTGCCCCTGCACGGCGGGACGGGCTCTCGGATGGGGCGTCGGGAGCTCTGCCTTTGCCCCCCAGCCTGTTAGCGGTGGGACTTCTGTGGCCGGGAGGCACAGGGACAACAAGGATGTGCCAGGGGCACCCGGCAGGGCTGTGTCAGAGCAGGGCCTCCCTCCCGGACCTCCCAGGTTCCTGTCTTGGGCCCGAATGGCACCCTCCTTCCCATCTCTGCTCTGCTTCAAAGGAGCCGGCCCGCCACCAGGCTGTCCCCAGCAGTCAGGCCTGGCTGTCCTCCATATCTGCGCCCGCAGGGGCAGGAGCCCAGTGCCGGGCTCTGCTCTCAGCTGGGTCTTGGCCCGTATGCGAGGCATCGCCCCTCCTCCCTCCGGCCAGCCAGTGCGCAGCCCGACCCACGGCGCCGCCTGTTGGTGTTCCCCCGCCACGCCTGACCACGGTGTTCTCCTCTCTCTGCAGGATGGCTCTCGCCAGAGGCCGGTGCAGAAGAAGAAGACGGTGTCCTTCAGCACCATGCCCAACGACCGGAAGATCAACAGCACGGCCGCCTGCATCTCCTTCATGCTGGAGGGCTGCGAGATGAAGAAGGTGCGCTCCAACTCGCGCATGTACAGCCGCTTCTTCCTGCTGGAGCCCGACATGCGCTGTCTGCGCTGGGAGCCGTCCAAGAAAGACTCGGAGAAGGCCAAGATCGAGATCAAGTCGGTCAAGGAGGTGCGGGTGGGGAAGAAAACCCCCGTGCTGCGCAGCAACGGCCTCTCCGACCAGTTCCCGGATGAGTGCGCCTTCTCCATCATCTACGGCGAGAAGTACGAGTCCCTGGACCTGGTGGCTAGCTCGGCCGACGTGGTGAATGCCTGGGTGATGGGGCTGAGGTACTTGGTGTCCTACGGGAAGCACACGCCGGAGGCGCCAGAGGCGGGCCATCCCAGCCTCCGGACCGCCTGGATCTCCTCGGTCTTCGACGTCGCCGACCTGGAGAAGGCGGGGCGGATCCCCGTGGCCCGGGCCGTGCAGCTCATCAAGGCCCTGAACCCGGGCATGAAGGCCTCCACCATCGAGCAGAAGTTCAAGGAGATGCAGAAGGCCGGGGAGCGGTCGGGGAGCGACGTCGCCTGCGACCTTTTCGTGGAGGCCTACTGCGATCTCTGCACCCGGCCCGAGATCTTCTTCCTCCTGGTCCAGTTCTCCAGCAACAAGGAGTCGCTGAGCCTGAAGGACCTGCTCACCTTCCTGGAGGTGGAGCAGGGCATGGAGGGGGTGACGGAGGAGATGTGCCTGGAGATCATTGGCAAATACGAGCCCTCCAGCGAGGGCCGGGAGAAGGGCTACCTGGCTGTGGACGGCTTCACCCGCTACCTGCTCTCCCCCGACTGCTCCATCTTCGACCCGCAGCACCGCCGGGTGTGCCAGGACATGACGCAGCCCCTGTCCCACTACTACATCAGCTCGGCCCACCGGCCC